GCACATCAGGGACAAATCTTGTGTTGGGACACATGGAAGAGTGTCCAGGGCTGATCAGAGCACCAAAGCTGAGCCCAAAAGAGAGGAAGAGCTGCTGAGTGCCTCACAGCCCCCACAGCAAAGCCTGAGGTGGGGTCATCTGCACCACAAGGACAAGGTGCACAGCCCAAGTGAGCCCCCAGGAGAGGGAAAGTTGCCATCCCAGAAGCCCTGCCATACCCCACCCTGGTAAGATCCAAGTTCCCTTAGGGCAGAGGCAGGAACAAAAGGAGCCCCAGTAAGCAAGCTGTTTCAAAGACAAGGGTCTAGGGACATATTTCCTCAGAGTGGAGAGGAAAGGGAGGTGGCTCCGTCCCTGCCTTTGCATGACGACCCACTATTAATACATACGCCACCCCCTCCCTGTCAGTCAGTAGCCGTCCACTCCTGACCAGTGAGAGCCAGAACAGCAGGCTCTACTATGCACCCGTCAAGCACTGCAGGGCAGTCACGCAGCGAGCTCCAGGCACTATCCCACATTGATGTGTTCTGTGACATGTTTCCTTCGCAGTAGCCTCTTCCTGCCATTCCTTCTGTGTTCTGAAGTTTTGAGCCCTATTTGCTGACAGAATGTGTGCAAGCTAGGTCGGCTGTGAAAAACCGAAGGAAAACATCACACGAGATGTTTAAATGTGTCACTGAGGTCTGAGGGGCTTTCAAGGAAATGGTCCAGGAAAGAGGAAGACCAGCAGGCAAGTAGGGATTGGTGGTTACCCTTCAATAGTATAAAGGACATCGTCAATGTACCTGGAGCTACGTGTGGGCTAGGTCAACAATTGTATGAACTATAATTGGAAGAAACTGAAGTGGAGATAGGTCTGACTTCGGGATAAATGAAAGGACGGGCCAGCTACTGCCAATGACCTTTGCCAGCAATGCAGCTCAATATGGTCAACATGACACCTGCTATGACTCAGTGTATCTCCTTCAGTTGGTGCTCCCATTCCCGGGACCCCATCCCCTTTGGGTGTTCCTCTAACCCTGCTGGTGGGAAGGCTCGCCCTGATTCTTGATGTTGGGCTACCTTTCCAGCCCTAGGTAATCAGCAAACCTATGGGAACCACTGCCTCGTGACATATCTCAGCCGCAAGAGTCAAACGGGGGCTAAAGAGGGTGAGTGACTTGCGTAAGGTCATGGTCGGGCAAAGGCAGGGCTAGAGGCCAGATCTCTAGGCATACAAGTCAATGCACTTTCTCCAGCATCCCATGTGCTCCTCAGGAGTCTCCAAGCCCCCAACTAGCAAGTGAAGCTAGTTCCTGTGTGGACCTTTCACACTGAGCTCCATCTCACTGCCACCTTATCACAAAGGAGCCCTGGTGGGAAGGCAGAGAAACTGCTTTACAGCAGCCCTTACTTATGAACAAGGATTATGTTGGCTCAACAGGAGCCAGGCTGAATCCCTGCCTGCGTCCCAGCCACGCTGCCCTGCTCAATCCTCCAAAAGACATGCATTTACTCATTCATTTGGCAAATACTTGTTGCACACCTACTGCAGTGCTAGTTCTTGGGCTAAGGATACACTGGCAAGAGAAAGAGTTTAGGATCCCTGCTGTCAGGAAGATTACACGCTAGAGGAGGAAACATTAACTGAATAATCTCACTAAGGATATCCAATACAAATTGAAATAAGTGCTGCAAAGGGCAGGCACACAGCTCAACAAAGTCTATGTACAGGGGCCTCACCCAGGTCTGCTGTAGGGAAGACGGGCTCCTGAGCTGGCACATGGAGGAGGAGAAGAGGAGGGGGAGGAGGGAGGAGAAGGGGGAGGAGGGAGGAGGAGAGGGGGAGGAAGGGAGGAGAGAATGGAGGAG